GCTTTTAAAAAAAGCCCTACGTTCAGGATAAACTAAAAAAGGTCCATGCCTAGATGCATCAAAATGTTGAAAACCAAAAAAAGTAATTTTTAAACTAGTAAGAACTAAGTCCTCCAGTAGAGAGCCTCAGTAAGTGGAACAAGTCAGTTCTCACAGGAAACCATCGAGCGCAGAGGACAGTGGGATGACACAGTCAAATAGAGCCAAAGAAAAAAGCTTTACTATTCTCAAAGAATAATTAAGACAAAATCATCCTTCAAGAAAGAGGAAATTTAGATATTCCCATGTTTTAAAAAACTGAGGAAACTGGGGCTGGGGATTTAGCTCAGTGGTTCTGCCGCCTGCCTCACAAGAGCAAGGACCCGAGTTCGATCCTCAGTACCAAAAACAAAAAACTACAAAAAAAAAGAGAAAATTCATTGCTGTATATTTATCCTATAAGAAATATTAGAGATTCCTCAGGCTGATATAAAAGAATATTAGACAGTATCTTGAATCCACATGAATAGTAGGAGAAGTACATAATAGGAAAGACAGTATACTTTGGTTTATAATTGTTTTAAATCCTATCTGACTTAACTGCACAAAGCAATTATAAAACTGTGTTGAGAGCCAGGGTCAGCTCAGTGGTGTCACACTTGCCTCACAAGCACAAGGTCCTGAGTTCAATCCCCAGTACCGGAAAAAAACAAAAACAAAACCATGTTGATAAACTCAAAATGGATACAAGTTTAGCTTGTATAAATAATACAAAGGAGAGAATATAAAAACCATTCTGTTTATTATTAAAATTGTTATTAACCTAGATTGTTTTGTTATTGCTATCCCTATGGCAACATGAACAAAATAGCTCCAGTGCATAGTAAAAGAAACATCAGAGGAATTAAAATGATAAGACTAGAAAATAGTTAACACAAAGCATTAGACTGGGCCTGGTGGTGCATGCCTGCAATCCCAGCACTTGGGGGTGCTGAGTGAGGCAGGAGGATTGCCTTGAGTTGGAGGCTAGCCTGGGCTATGTAATGAGTTCAAGGCCAGCCCAGAGTACATCGTGAGCCCATCTAAAAAAAAAGAAAGCTGAAGATTTAGCTCAGTGGTTCCGCTGCCTGCCTTACAAGCTCAAGGTCCTGAGTTTGATCCCCGATACCAAAAAAAAGCATTAATGGAGAACAGAGGAACAAAAAGGACAAAGGACAACAGAAAATGACACCAATTATACCTTATCAGTAATCACATTAAATGTACTTGAATGTTTATATTTGTATAGATTTTATCTATATTTAGTCAAACTTCTAAAAAAAAAAATCTATGCAAAGGGATACACCGACACACACTAAACATAAATCAAAATGGAATTCTAAAAAAATGTTCAGGTAACCCACAGGAAGACCAAAGGAAAACAGGAAGCCAGAGGAGAAAGAACAAACAGAAAACAATAAAATCGCAAATTTAAGCCCCAACATATCAATAATTATGTTAAGTAAGTAGGAACAGTCTAAACATACCAATTAAAAAATCAGGATCAATTTCTGGAATTAACAACCGTGGTTAAATTGCTCTGTCACTTCACCAGCATTGCACTGTAGCTTATGTACAGTAATGCTTAAACTCAGGGAATGTCTTCCAATTTAACATCATTGGGTTATTCTAGTTTACCTTTTCATTTTAGAATGAGCTTGTGCATACCTATAAAAAATTCTGCTGGGATTTTTATTGGAGTTGTGATAAATCTAGGTCAAATAAACATCTCCCCAGGAATGAGACTATGTGGAATTGTGTTATTCTTTTCAACATTTTGGTAGAATGCACCCAGGAAACTAATGGCCTAGAGGTTTCTTTTATAAAAAGCAAACTATAAAACCAGTATCTTCAGTAGTTGTAAGAATTAATTCAGGTTATTCAACATTTCTTCTTTTTCTCGTTTCCTGGGTAGAGGATGGAACCCAAGGCCTGGCAGATGCTGAGCAAGTGCTCTAACACTGACCACACCCCCAGCCCACTCCATTTTTTACATCAGTTCTGGTCATTTGTGTTTTTAGAATTTGACAATTCCATCTACAGTCTCAAAACTGCTATCAGTTTAATGCTACCCACATTCTCCTATTATTTCTCTAATTTCTTGCAGGATTTCTAGCAATAAACTCCTTTCAATTCTGATATTGGTATTTTGTGTCTGTTTTTCTTCATCAGTCTGCCTGGAGGTTTGTGAATCTTGTTTACAAAATTTTGTTTTCAATTCCATTGTTTTCTATTATTGTCTTTATTTCTTTCCTCTTGCATTGGATTCAACTTGCTGTACTTACTCTAGTTTCTAACCTATTTTAGGTCACTGAGACCTTTCTTATATAAGAATTTAGTGCAATAAATTTTCCTTTAAACACCTCTTTAGCTACATCTATGAATTTTGATGTTTTTGCTTTTTCCCAAATGCAGATATTCCCCATTTAATGACTTACCTGTTTAATGACTATTTGGATTTAGTACTGAGGCGTCATGTTCAGATTTATGACCCACCTCGCAGATTTATGACACAGGGGTGTGAGTCACAGCACAGCCTTATGGTGGCTTCTTCTACAGTACAGGACTATAATTTCACTGATTGTACTGTACAGTAATGCAGTTCTGTTGTTATACATTACAGTACTGTAAGTTGTGCAAATAAAAGCAAAGTCATCAAATTGGAGTTTTCTTTGACCATTTCTTTGTTCTGAATATTGTAATGTACATACTATATACAATTCCTCATTTAGCAATCCATTCACTGAACAATCTAGCAGCAGGACTGTAACTCAAATAAGGAATGTATTTTCTAATTTTCTTGAGACTTACTTGATCTATGGATTATAAGGTTTGTTTTATAAGCCAGGATATGGTTACCTTGTGAATGTTCCATGAGCACTTAGAATACTCTACACCTGTGTTCTATAAACGTCACTTAGATCAAGTTAGTTGGTGTTATTCAGCTCTTCTACATCCATGTTCAACTAGCTTTATAGATTCCTGAGAAAAGAATGCTGAAGTTTCTAGCTGTACCTCTGAATTTGCCTATCTCTTCTGTCAGCTTTTGTTATATACACACAGAGCATTATTGTTAGAGGGGCCACGGTATAGATGTGCTTTGCCCCTCAATGTGGTGGTGAAATCCTTCATACGTGAGGCTAGTGGGAGGTAATCAGATTCCTGGGGGCCCCCACCCTGGGAAGGGATGAATGCTGGTGTGGGGTAGTCAGTTCTTGTGAATGGGTTGTTACAGAGCAGGTCCCTCACAGGCTTGGGCCCTTCTACATGTGTCCAGCTAAGTTTTGACCAAGCCTGGGGGTCCCTTATCAGAGGCCAAACAAATGGATTTTCAGTCTCCAAAACTGTGCGGTACATAAACTTCATTTCTTTTTAAAGTACACAGCTTTAGGTACTTTTTTTTTCTTCCAGAAAAGATTAATAGATAATACATATTTTGAACTACAATTCTTTATGAATCATTGCTTTTATCATTATAGTTGTGATGGACAAACTGCAGAGCACTTTGAAAATGAGGCAGAGAGGTGGATTTGAACTCAGTGGAGTCCAGGCTGAGGTAGTACAGAGGGAAGTCTACTCCGAGGAAACTGGGGTGAACTTCAAGAAGACTAGGTGATAGAACAGGCAATCAGGTAGAAGGGGCTGCAATAATGCAGGTATGACAGACCATAGTTTACTGTGGGTGCACAGGGCCATGTAAGAGAATACATCTCATTCCCAATTTAACACAAGAGGTGTATTTGCCTCTTCAAAATAACCCACTGGAAAATAACAAGTTTATAAACTTCTCCATGGGACTTCAGCCTCTGAAATCTCTGACTAGTCTTTTAACTTGTAGGTGAGATGGGGACTGCCTCAGGAATGTAAGACTTTCTTCTTAGATCTATTCTTTATGTATAAACACATACACTTCCTAAATATTTAACTGTACATGAGGCAATATTAGGAAATATACTGCTTGATGGTCATATATAACTAATTACAAATATTTTCAGGGTTTATAAAAATAATAAATACAAAGTAAATGTTCCTATTTATCCATTTCTATGTAGTTGATCATATTATTTGGCTCATAAGATTGTTATGAGGTTTAAAGGAGAAAGTTAAACAGTATAAAATAAAATAGCATACTTCCTGGCATATGGTAGGTGTACATTAAGGTTAGCTTATTATTAACACTGGGCAATATTAGCTTATATATAGGTTTGACATAAAATTTCCCTTCTACAAGTGTGAGGCAGGATAGAATCTTGAATTCCTTAAAGTTACGTATGATCTTTAGAGGAGATACAAAGTATTTATTTTGAAGGTAACATAACTACTCCTTCACACAATTTCATTAAATTATGAAAGGCTTTGTAAAGTACCTGGCTCAGCCTTTCTGATTTCTTCTAGCAATTTCTGGTGCACTGTCTTCCCATTCTCCCTAGCCACTGCCAGGGACTGGACAATCAACCTGTGACAGCAACACTGACAGATGGCTCGCTCTCAGCTGTCTCCCTCTGAGGACCCGGGGTCTATCCTGGTCTCTTCCTTTCTTATGTCTTGTCTGATAAATCTCTGCTTGGAGTACATGCAATTTTTGTTCTTGCTTTAGGCAGACTGGATTACAACCAAAACGACTCTGGCTCGTACTACCAAATATGCTAAGAAGTGCTACAAGATTTGGATGTTTTCTGCATGTACTGCAAGTTAGTGATGCTATTACTTTCCCCAGCAATAAAATAGTATGATTATGGCTTTAGTTTCATGGTATTTGATAATAATCAGTACTAGTATATAAAAATGCATATTTAGAATCTTATTTATAGTTGGAAAGTTTTGTATTTGTATATTGTGTTATAGATACACACTCTTTAAGTTTATACTGCATACAAGTATATAATGTGATAGTGTTTATGAACCAGTGAGAAAGATAAATACTATATTCTTGTATTTTAACAAGAGAAAAGTTTAAGAACATCAAGTTTAAGAATGGTATATCAAGAGATATTACTCTACTTTATTTATAATAGTAAGAAACTGCAAACAAATGTCCAATAGAACACTGGTTTAAAAAAATCACAATCATAAACTTTAAGCTATAAAATGGAATTGTGAGCTATCATTAAAAACATGTTGTCAAAGTATTTAATGACATGTACAGAGCTCTTATATTATCCCAATGTCTTCCTAACTTCCTCTACTTCTTCACTCATTCTCACTTAGACTAACTTTGGTTCTTATTTTATTGAGAAATCTCAAACAGAAAACACAGCTGCAATTTACTGCCACATGACCCCACAAGCCTGCATCTCACCCTTTGTGCTCCTCTCCTGTCCCAAGAGCTGGAGCATCTGGGTGACGACCAACCCCTTCTTTCACTTGGGCAGGGCACTCCATCCCTCTGTGCTATCATTAAAGAGCTGCACATCAGCACAAGGACACCAGAAGGCGCCTGAAGTGAGGAATCCCGAGAGTGACTCCATATCACCAGTCTGGGACAGGTTGGAACAGACAACAGGTGTAACCACTCTTCATCTATATAAAAGCTACAGAAGAAAAGAATGCACATACATTAGGTTGTGAAAATTACCAACTTAGCTTCCCCATTACCTCTCTACCCCCATAAAATCATGCAGCAGAAAAAACACACAAAAATCCAAAATGAGTTAAATATTCTTTGGGAAACTGAGAGAACACCTTGAATTACAATTCTAGTAGAACTGAACAACAACAAAAAAATGGAAATAATGAAACTAGAGTTGACTGGCCTCACAAATAGGAAAGAAAGACTATTATTAACAAGAAAGAATAAATTTGGAAATATAATAAGAATTATTGGACAAAAGCAGGAAAAAAATAAAAATGAGTTGGAAAAACTTTTAATAAAAAGCAAATATAGAGAAGAATGTATAAAAGTAACAGATTTAATTATAAAGAGAAACTAATCCAAATGTCTGTTCAAAAAATGTAAATGGGCTTAAAGTCACTCATCAAGAGTTTTGGTTTAGTTCACAAAGCAAACCTCAACTATATATGTTCCATATAAGAAACAAAACTAAAACCTATTTAGGCTAAAAACAATGAGCACATGACTATTACATGGTGCTTATAAATGATGGAGTATCATACAGCTATAAAGTCATAAAGTATGGAATCTTATCAACTGCAGCAAAATGGATGGGACTGGAGGACAAAATATTAAATGAAATAAGCCAAACACAGAAAAGCAAGTACATTTTTTCTTTTGTATGTGGAGATGAAAAAAAACAACTGCCAACCTCAAAAAAGTAATTGGAAACAGATTTCAAGCTGTAGTACTGAATCTAAAACTCTGTCAATGAATCTGTACTGCTACATTAAAAACTACTAGCCAGGGATTTAGCTCAGTGGCACTGTGCCTGCCTTGAAAGCACAAGGTCCTGAGTTTGATCCCCGGTACTGGGAAAAAAAAGAAAATCTACTAGTCTCTACAGCTGGTTGGTAGATGTTTTGCTCATGCACTTTTTTTTTTTTTTGAGACAAGGTCTCGCTACGTACTTCAGGCTGGCCTTGAGCTCACTATGTAGCCCAAGCTGACCTCGAACTCGTGGTGGGTGATCCTTTTGCCTCAGCCTTTCGAGTGTTGGCATTACAGGTGTGTGCCACCACACCTGGGTGTCCACGTATAATTTATCTTGTACTCTTTATTTAGAAAATATTATTTACTAATTTATACAGATTTTGTGAATGTTTTATTATATAATTTTTTAAATCACATTCTTTAATATCACTGACCAATCTTACCAAGAAAGACTAGGTCTAGAGACCTAGCTCACAGAGGAAAATCAAATGTTCTGAAACTGTAATTTTCACTCAAAGCTTGAATTTAGATGATAAATACTGTCAGTTGTTCTCAAAGTGACAGGATCACTTATTCAATTGTGAAAGAATGCTGGCCAAATATTCTGCCCAACACCAGTTTGCCTCTCAGCTATTCTCTCAAGTAAAAATAGTACTTATGAAAAAATAGCTAATTCAGCTTACAACTCAGGAACCAACACAAGTGCTTTCCTTAAGAATACAACTTCAGGGTACAAAAGTACTTGACATATCTTCATGTCTGCTACACACAATTTTAAAAAGTCTGTATGAATCAAAAGTTTAATAATTGTAGTACCTTTTACTGCTTCATCCTAGACATTCTTAAGTGAAACTAGCACCATTTACAAATGTTTTCAGAGAGAATTTTACTCAAGTTTAGAAAGTGGAAAATCCTGCTGGGACACAAACTTTTATAGTGGAAATGCCTCTACTGCTGCCCTATTAAGTATGCTGCTGATATTCTTTTTAAGGTATGACATATTTTATCATGTGAAGAAACTATCCATTCCATGATTTTATAAAGAGACAACCTCAACACAAAAATCAGTTGCATTTCTACACACTAACAGTGAACATTCTGAAAAGAAAATAATTAAAAATCTATTTATGATTACACGAAAAAGTTCACCGTTATGAAGACAATATACTTGGTAGACAATTACTACACAAAGAAATCTATATATTCAGTGCAATTCCTATCAAAATCATAATGAAATATTTACAAAAATAGAAAAATCCTTCTTAAAATTCATATGTAATCTCAAAGGATCCTGAATAACCAAAATAATCTGGAAAAGAATAAATAGTTTGCTATGCAGTTCAGGCTGGCCTTGAACTCACTATGTAACACAAGCTGGTCTAGAACTCACAGAGATCCTCCCTCCTGCCTCAGCCTCACAACTGCTGGGTATGCGCAGCCACACTCAGCAAAATTGGACTTAAAAATTAAAAAACTTTTATGCATCAAAGGGCACTATCAACATAGTGAAAAAACAATCTACAGAATGAAGATATTTGCAAATTATTTATCTCATACGTAGTTAAAATCTACGTAAATACAGAACACCTAAAACTAAAAAAACCCAAAAAACAAAAAACAAACTCAATTAAAAAATGTAACAAAGGACCTGAATAGACATTTCTTCAAAGATGATTGTATGAATGGCTAATAACACATGAAAATACTATGCTGTTATCACTAAGTACAAATCAAAACTAATGAGACACTACCTCACACACTATTAAGACCTCACATACTACTACCATCATTACGTGTCATTTAAAACAAACAGACAGACAAACAAACAAGGGTTGGTGAAATTAGAGCCCTTGGGCACTACTGGGTGGACAGCTACTGAGTATGATGGTTCCTCAAGTAATCAAAAATAGAATAACTACATATGACATACTAACTCCAGTTCAGCATATATACCACCCAAAAGAATCAAAAGCAAGATTTTAAACATATAATTATACATCTCTGTTCACAGCAGCATTATGCACAACAGTCAACACGGAAGCAAACTAAGTGTCCACTGATGAATGAATGAATAAGCAACACGTGCTACTATACATAAAATGGAATACTACTCAGTCTCAAAGGGAAGAAATTCTGACATGCTACAATATAGATGAATCTTGAGGACAGTATATTAAGTGAATAAATCAGTCAAAAAGGATAAATGCTACATGATGCTACTTATATGACATACCCAGAATAGTCAGAATCAGAGAGACAGAAAGTAGAATGATAGCTACATGGGGACTGGGGACAAGGAAGAATGAGGAATTGTTTAGTGGACATAAGAGTTTCAGCTCTGAAGATAAAAAAATTGCCCTAGAGATGGATCTTGGTGATGGTTGCATAAAATGAGTACACTTAACATTATTGAACTGAATACTTAAAAATGGTTAAGATGGCAAATATTATCTATATTTTATCATGATAAAAATAAAAAATTTAAAAGTATTCACCCAATCCTATTTAGTATTTTTGCTTTTAAATAAGTACTGAAGTCTGGGGATATACCTCAGTGGTAGAATGCTTGCTTAAATTTGATCCCCAGCACAGTGAAAACAAAGAGGGAGTGGTGGTGAATTTTGTAGGAAAATTTTCAGCATCATAGAAATTATCATAAAGATTATTGTTAGGATGTTCTTCAACCTTGGTGCTTGGGAAGACCATATTTTTGGAACCTATTGTAAAGAAAAGCCGTTGAAAGGCTGTAAGTCTGCAGTTTAGAAGAAAAGAACAGAACTTGCCTCTTCTCGAAACAGATTTACCAGGGCCAGGGATTTAGCTCAGTGGTTCAGGCGCCTGCCTTGCAAGTGCAAGGTCCCGAGTTCAATCCCTGGTACCAAAAAACCCCCAGATTTACCAATCTCCATAGATGAAATAGAAAGTGTTGATTGAACATCTTATAAGGCAGGTCATTAGAGGTGGGTGTTTAATGATAAACCAGATGGTGTTAGAGCAAGTGGAAGGATTCTTGGACTATAAAGAATTAAATGAAGCATGTAAAAGTGGGGCTGGTCATAAAATAAAACTGTTACAGTAGATGCAAAACAAGAGAAATTCTCACAGAAGAAATGGTCAAAGAAATTAAGATATGAAAAGAAGAGAAAAAGAGAGTTGCAGAGGGGCCATCCAGGAGATACAATCTATGTGTAACAGAACAGAAGACAAAGCAAATGAAGCTGAAACAATAATTAAGGAACTAACTGAAGAAAACTTTCCAGAGTTGAAGTAGGCCTACAGATGAAGAAGGCTCACAGCATATCTTTAAGATTTAATAAAAAGAAGGTAACACTTAGACATATCCTGGTGACGTTTTAAAATTTGAAGGATAAAAAAAAAATTAAAAAAATAAAATTTGAAGGATAAACAAAAATTTTTTGCAAGTATCCAGATACAGAAAGCAGGTTATCAATAAATACAAAGGGGCAAAACTCAGACTGACTTCAGATTTTTCTCTTCCAGTTCTTAATGTCAGAAGACAGCAGAACAATATCCACAGAGTTTTAAGGGAAAATAATTTTGAACCAAAAATTATATACCTTGACAATTTATTATTTCTGTATGAAAGCAAATGGAAGATGTTCTCAGAAACTAACGGGTTAAAGTATATTGACCAAGAACCTTCTCTGAAAAATTTGCTCAATGATTTACTGAAGCCAATGGAAAAAAAGTATGTAACATAACAATGTAACATAATGTATGTAACATAATGTAATGTAATGTAACATAACAACTGTATGAAAGATTTGATAGTACTCATTAAAACTACTTAAGAAGCATGAAGTCTAAATGTTACATGTAGACTAATAAAATAAATGCAAAAATAGATTGGTAAGCTAAAATTTTCAGTGTATATAGTTTTAAATGGTCAAAGTGTATGCCAAATATTCAGCGTATTAGGCAAATAAATGCTTTCATTTTTGGTCATGTTAATATTATGGATAAAGATGGATGCTGTTAGGCCAAAAGGGCAAAGATCTAAACTGACCAATGGCAGTGAGCACATGAAGATGCTCTCAACATCATTAGTCATTAGGAAAATGCAAACTATAACTACAAGGAAATACCAACTCACTTCTACTAGAAAAGCTACCATCAAAATGACTGATAATAACTAGTTTTGTTACAGTAATTAAGGCAATACATTATCAGAGAAGGACCAAAAACAGAGACTGCAGAAACAGATTGCTTAATGGAACTTGATTCATACCAGAAGGGGCATTATAGGTCAGTAGGGAAAAGAGCAGTCTTTTTAATCAAATGATGCTTGGGAAATCTGATTATCCATTTTGAGGGGGGAGAGAAGAAAAGGAAAGGTACAGGTCCTCATCTCATACCATTTAAAAGAGATCAATTAGCTTTACTTCTTTCTTTATCCCTACAGTCACAGCCATACCCTTTCTCATGTATAATCTATACTTCTTCCCCTACGTAAAGTACAAAAGGAAGAATGTACTTCTCTACTCTTTGCTTTGGGCTGGGCCATGTGATTACTCTGGCCAATGTGATGCAAATCTGGTTTTGCCCTCTTGGGCTTCTCCCAGTAAGAAAAGAAGAACATGCCTTAGCTGGTCCCAGAAAGAGAATGAGATAAACATCACACATATAAGAATCATCCCAGCAGACCCGCTGCATGAAGCAGAGTCTGGCCAACCAAGGCCAGCCTAGACTTCCAGCCATGCACAGATGCATAAAAAAATGCTTTTTGTTCCAAGTTAGATCCCCAGTATCTAAAAAAAAAAATGCTTTTTGTTATATGGTACCGAGAGCTGTATGTTGGTTGTTAACACCATTACTGTTGAGAAAAATTTTCAGTGGACTAAGTATAAACATATAAAATAAAACCCCAGAATTAAAAAAAAAAGTTAAATATAGTGGAAGTTTATAATACCTAAAACTTGGAAACAGCCCAATTGCCCATCAACTGGAGACTGGATGAAGATGTGTTTTTTTTATAAAATGGAGTACTACTTAGCCATAAAGAATGAGAAACTAGAGACATTTATAACTAAATGGATGCACACTGAGGCCATCCTCTTAAGTGAAATAAATAGG